CGGTGCGGTTGGCGCAGGATAGAGCAGGGTTTAGAGCTGTTGTGCATAGGGTCGCTATGAGTCGGAAACGACTCGATGGCACATAACAACAACAACATATATACATGCATGGTATATATAAAACTTACATGTTACCTGCTATTGAATATTATTATAGAACTGCTGCTGTTATTGTTGTTAGAGTAAACTGAGTCTACTGTGATTCATAATGACCCTGTGAACAACAAATTAGAGCCTTGCCAAAGGTCTGTTTTGCCAGTTGGAACCTATTCTGCGTCACCCTTTAATCTCCCTCATGTTCCAGCCCATCACTGGAGTCACTGTTTCAGTCCATCTCATTAATTAGAACTGTTATTGATGTGTGTCATCGAGTGGGAACTGACTCAACAGCTGACCCTCCAGAAGGATGAGAAATTTCCTATGCAATTTATTGCCTCTAAAAGCCTGGTGGAGGGTCAGCTGTGAGTCAGTTCCCACTCAATGACACACAGCAATAACAGTTCTAATCAATGAGATGGACTGAAACAGTGACTCCAGTGATGGGCTGGTACATGAGGGAGATTAAAGGGTGACGCAGAATAGGCTCCAGATTTCTGCTGTTAGGGTTGCAGTGCAGCTTTTTACCACTAAGCCAGAGAGCTGCAATCCTATTAGAACCTGAACTTGAACAAGAAGAAGAATTATCATAACCGACAAAAATAATCTGTTTGTTCTTGCTGTTTTGTTTTCTTTCTTATTGGCTTGGGAAATTCTAGTAGTTTATTCATCCTCCTTTAATATGCAAATGTAGTTCTTTTTTCAGGAGCTCTGCCATCACTTGGACCAAGTCCCTAGTGACAGCACCCAGAGAAGGCATCCTACCTGCTTCAGTCTGCAGGCGCGACCGCTGTGCTGTCAGGTCATTGATCAGCCGCTGCTGCTCTTCCTCCTTGGCCTTCAGTTCACTCACTTGATCCTCTAGTGTTCGGCACATTTTTTCAAGGTTTCCCTAGGAGACACGTGGCAGTGAAAGATGAGACCCTGAGTACTTGTTAAAAAACCTTGAAACTTGACTCCTAAAGTGTCCTTAGAGTAAGTGCTTTTACATCCAGTGTAAAGAGACAGCATGACATCAACTCTGTGGAACACGTCCGAATTTGAGCCTGTTGAGTTTCCAGTGTCCCTAAACTGGTTGTTGCTGGAGACCAATCACTTATTTTAGTCCTACAAATACTCGTTTAAAATGGATTTTTAAATCATCCTACTGAGTCACAGGTGCTGAAATTTAAAAAAGTACCAAATTAAACAGATAAGATTTTTAAATCATCCTACTGGGTCACAAGTGTTTAAATTAAAACAAAGTACCAAATTAAATATATAAAAATAGAAAATATTAGGTTAGTGTTTTAAATTACTTTAAATGCTTAATGTCCGAGTTCAGTGAATTGTTGGCTGTTGATTAGTAGTTAATGCTGATTGAGTGATGATGACATTTGGTACCTTGGCTTTGGATATGGCCTCTGCATTGCTGCTCAGGTCGTCGATCTCCATCTTGAGCTCGCTCTTCTCCTTCTCCAGCTTTTGTTTGACCCTCTGCAGGTTGTCGATCTGCTCCCCGAGTTCAGCCACACTGTCCGCGTGCTTCTTCCTCAGCGTGGCCGCCGTGGCCTCGTGCTGCAGGGTGGCCTCCTCCAGGTCCCTGCGCAGTTTCTGGAACTCAGCCTCCCGCTTCTTGTTCATCTCTACCTGAGCAGAAGTTGCCCCTCCAGCCTCTTCCAGACGTTCGCTGATCTCCTCCAGCTCCCGGGAGAGGTCGGAGCGCTGCTTTTCTGCCTTGGCGCGGGAAGTCCGTTCTGCCTCGATTTCCTCCTCCAGTTCCTCAATGCGGGCCTGAGAGGGACACGAGCACATTTATTTGAACTCCACTCATCTTCAGGGGATTCGTTTGGTTTGTGGGAAAGATAGAGGGGCGATGACTCACCTGCAGTTCTTTGATCTTTTTCTGTAGTTGAATTTCTACTGCTTGTTCATCTTCAATTTTACTTATCAGATTGCTTATTTCAAATTCTTTCCTTTAGATTAAAGAATAAAACATATCCAAACTCATATTAATTGAAAGATGGCATCATATAGCTATTTTCCCCCTTGGGCCTCTTACTTTTTGAGTTTGTCATCAAGTTGTTGCTTGTCATTTTCTATGTCCATTGTGGATTCTTGGGCCAACTTTAGGTCACCTTCCAGTTTCCTCTTTGCTCTTTCTAGGTCCATGCGAAGTTTCTTTTCTTGCTCCAGAGACCCTTCCAGCTAATGGAAAAGTAAGATATGTTAAGCATAGATTTAAAACATCAACAACAAACAAACAAACCCAACCCACAAACCAACTCTCAAAAGGCTATTAAAAACCCACTGACATCGTCCACTTGCTGCTCCAGCTTGGTTTTGGCCTTGGTCAGGCTGTTCACTTTGTCCTCCTCTGCCTGCAGGTCATCCAGCGTCTGCTGGTGGGCCTCCTGCAGGGCTTTCTTCTCCTTGGTCAGCTTTGCAATGGTCTCATCCAGGCCTGCCATCTCCTCTGTGAGGTTTTTCACCTTGAAAAATTCAAGCAAGAAATAATCTCTATTTAAAAGCAGCTTAATTAATGTGTAGTCATGTCTCTATGTCGTCTAGAGAATGACACATACTTTGTTCTCTGTGGCATGCTTCTCCTTTTCAACCTTGGCCAGTGTCAGCTCAAGGTCATCGATGTCTTTCTTCAGCTCTGAGCATTCATCCTCCAGCTTCCTCTTCTTGGCTGTCAGCTCAGCATTGATCTCTTCCTCATCCTCAGCTCTCTCAGTGATCTCTTTGATTTTGGCCTCTAACTGGATTTTGTTTTTAATCAGTTGATCACACCTTTCCTCGGCATCCGCCAAGGCATCAGCCTCCTGTGGAGAGAGGCAAGAAGATGTTTGGAGAGATTGTTACTTCTCTCATTTTTTAAACAAAATAGTAGTGTTAATCGAATAATGGTAAATGTTTAAGCATGAAGACAGCACTAAACTTAATTGGATATTTATATGATTTAGAGGATTGGAAATGGGAATGTAGCTTTAGGAGAAAAAATAATGTCATTGCAGCAACCAATTACTTAAAAATATAGTGTTAAAAAAATAGTCTTGTGGAGTGGAAAGACCTCCAGACAGGGCAAAAGAAGCCTCATTTCTGGTTCAGTGTTGACTCCAGATGTCCCTGCACTCTCCTTGTTCAATCTCAACTTCCTCATATGTAAACAAATGGTTTTAAATCAATTATTGCTAAGAGTTTTTCAGCTATAAAGTCAAATTCTTTTGATTTAGCCAATAGACTTGTGTCAGGTTTGGTCATATTCAATCCCCCATCAAATAATTAGCTGCTAGAATAACCAAAACATGAAAAACAAAAGTAAATACAAATAATTTTATTCTTCTGAATCTATCTCTATACATTTTTAGTACATACAAAACCTTCTTGAGGGTCTATAAGCAGTGCTTTAACTATCTAGCATTTTCATTTAAAGAATAACAAAAATTAATTTTAGAATATATAAGAACATATAATTCTGAAAAGCTGCATAGCCCAAGAGAACTTTTATAAATGACTTAAAGACTCAGCTAAAAGTTAGTTCAACCACTACTTTGTTAAATTACTCTGGACTGGAGAATTTCCATAATTGCAGAGTGCTCTCCTGGCTTTGTAGGGAGAAGCCTCTCTGGCAGTTTGACTCTATCAGCCTCTCCATGGGACAGAGATGGGCAGTGTTGTCTGGTGTGATTTATACCTTTGGAAACCTGCTGGAAGGCCAGCTATGAGTTGGTTCTGACTTGGTGGCAGTGAGTAAGCCAATGAGAGTTTTGTTTGTGCTTTCATTTTTAAAATGCTTCAATTGATGATAATGGACTTTTAAGAGTGATTCATTCATAAATGTTTACTGATTAATGATAATAGGGCGCTCTGGTGGCCTAGTAGTCAGAAGTTGTGCTGTAATCCCGAAGCGATGTGGTTTGAATCCACCAGCTGCTCTGTGGAAGAAAAATGGGCAGTCTCTTCCCGTGCAAGTAACTGTCTCTGAAAACCCACTGAAGGGTCAGCTATGGGTTGGTTCTGACTTAATGGTGCACAACAACAACAAAAATGATAACAAGATGATGAAAATGAAGAGGCTGAATTTAGGGCGGAAATGTAACCAGCATAGTAGAGCTAGCAGGAGAAAAAGCTGAAACAGCTTAAGCCTTTGACAGATTTCTTAACCTTGTTGGACTTGTTGAACCAAGGAATTGGAAAATTATATGAGGCTAGAGCTCTAATGTCAAACCTACCCTCCCGCCCTTAATTGCAGCTCCTGAGCACCGCTCAGGAGTTGGGCAGTGCTTCGTTCTGTTGTGCACATGGTCACTAGAAGTAGGAACTGAGGCAGTGGCACCTGACAACAATCTGAACCAATAAGCAGAGGCCATAAGCATACTAAGCAGACATATACCAAAGGAAGAATCAGAGAGGATACATTTTTTCATAGTTCAGTTCAAGCAAACTAATGTAAATTCACTGCTGAATTCTTGGTGGTTGTGGAAAGGAGAAATCAAGAGGAAAACAAAAATACCACCTTTGTTGAGTGTAAGTATAATCCAGTAGATTTGTACTCATACAATGGACTGGTTTGTTTTTTGGTTTTTTGTTTTTTGACTGTTCTTTAAAGGCTAGGATGAGACAGCCAAGACAAACTAATAAAAGAAGAGTGAGAATTGGTTTTAAATTCCTTCCTTCATGACTTAAATTTTGAGATATTGAATCTTTAATCTTCCCTTCTTCATTTCTAACTAAGAAATCGTGCCTTGGAGGAGCCTAGTGTACCATGTGTTACATGCTGGGCTGCTCAGGAAGGCTTGGTGGTTTAAATCCACCAGCTGTTCCACAGGAGAGAGATGGACAGTCTCCTCCCACAAAGAGTCCTAACACTGGAAACCTGATGGAAGGCCGCATGGCTGGAAGATGACCTGATGGCAGTGGGTTTGATTTTTAGTTGTTCCTTATAGGAACACTGAAAGATAAGTGAATTTAAAAAAACCCAAAAAACAACAACCCACAAAAAACCCCCAACCCAAACCAAAACTCAAAACAAGCAAAACACAACTTGAAATATTTTCCAAAGACAAGATTTGTGTAGCTCTCCACAAATCTGTGAGCACCGTGCAGCATTCCAAAAACAGACTACTCACAGATTGGACCTGGAGTTGTAGGTCATTTTTCTCTTTCAAGAGAGTGACCATTTTTTCCTCCAGCTCCTTCCTCTTGGCCTCTGACTTGGCGAGCTCCTCTTTGGTTTTCGCAAACTCTTCCTTCATGGTGGCCATCTCCTTCTCCGTCTCCGCACTCTTCAGCAGCGGCTTGATCTTGAAGAACAGCTTCATCCAGGGCCAGTGCTTGACGTTCATAAAGGCACGGACGTTGTATTGGATGCAGAAGATGGACTCTCTGTAATTGGAATAGAAATGTCAGCGCAGATTGTTTTATAAGGTATGCTATTATTATTTATTACACATTGTTGTTGAGTACTGTCGAGTTGGAATGGACTCATAACTGACCCTCCAGTGGGTTTTCAGAGACAATAAATCACATAGGAGAAGATTGACCATCCTTCTCCCACAGAGCAGCTGGGGGATTTGAAACACATCTGTTTGCAAAGACAGCACCATTGTTTACCACTAAGCCACCAGAGCTCCTTTTATTATACCTAGAGCCCCTATTAATGAACACTTCCAACATTTATATGGCGTGTGTGATTCTATGTACTTGATATATGTGATTTATAAACATATACACACAAACATATATTTTCACACTCACTGTCAGTAGTCCACAATAAAGCTACTTTACTCACGGGCATTAATATTGAACACGTCTGTGTTCTCAGGTTCAAGTTAAGAAGCTGACTTTGCTATTGTTAGGTGCCTTCAAGTTGAGACAGTGGAGTGACACCCATCATATCCTGCTCATCCTCATGTTCTGTACCGTGCTTAAGCCTGTTGTTCCAGTCACTGTGGCACTTTGTTCCTTGAGGGCTTCTGATACTTTGCTTACTCTACTTTTCCAAGCCTAATATCCTTTCCAAGTTCTGGCCCTTCTACTTGCCCAAAGTATATGAGACAAGACTCACCATTGTTGCTTCCAAGGAGTCCTCCTGGTTGATTTTAGATGGTAGGAGTGTGTAAGCAGAGTAAGCCATTCTTACTGTCATTTGACGTATTCTACGTTAGTGAGTGAAGGCGGGTAAGGCAGTTGAAAGGCTCATGGTGCTGCTTTGCCCTCAGCATGCATGTATGAAATATGTCATGGTGTTAGTTGTATTCCTTCATCTAAATGGAACTATGGTTTATCTGCTCTTCCTCGAAATCTCTCCTCTTATTATCATCACCAGTAGTTTATCTACCCTAGACTTCTGTTTTCAATTTCTTCAGGTATTAATCCTGAATTTTCTCACATACTTTGAAGTTCCTCAGTTTTATCTGTACAACTAGATTGTTAACTTCTTCAGAGCATTCAGCATGGGTTGTGCGTTTCTAAGAACAAAATTTGCTTTTGTTAAATACAGCTTTTAACTAGTAATAAGAGATACTTTTGTTGAAAACGGTACTGAAAGACTTTTAAGAGTTGATTATCTGGTAGTAATTTGTAAGCTGTTCAGCCTTGTTAAGTGGAAATTATTTTCTGCAGATAGATCCAAATTCACAGAAACTATAACTCTTAGAAGCCAGATGCTCAGATACAAACCACAGTGTTGACATAGGGAAAAGACTGGTGAGACAGTAACTAACAAGTGTAGATGAGCGAAATAAATGTAAAATATGTATGTAGGCAATGAGAATGCAGTATGCTGGGGAGAAGGGGAATTGTATGCCATTAATCAGGAGAAGGGAGCTGGGAGGTCTGAATTGGAAGATAGATTGAATGAAAGGAGAGAACTTGTGCAAATATGAGGATAGGAGGTAGTCTGAATGGAAAAGGCTGGGTGGTTGGAAGGAGAAATTAGAAAAGGGAAGGTAAAGAAGGCAAATTGAATTTGACATGAGAGCCCCTGGGGAGTCAGGGAGTGAGAAGTGGCATGATGAAAATAGTGTTTATTACAAATTAGTCCTGCAGTTGTGTGTGAGATGGGGGGAAAGGAAGAAATTGGAAGCATGAGAGAAATTTTGGAGAGAAACCAGGTGTGAGGGCTTACTCAAAGGCTAATGTATTAATGTATTGTGGAAGTAATTTCTGAAATGAGTGATATACACACACACACACACACACACACGCATACATTCATATTGTTGTTGTTGATTGCATTTGAGTTGAGCGTGACTTATAGTGACCCTATGAACGAAAGTGTAGCCACTCTACAACTATCAATATTTATCAAAGTTCATAGGGTTTCCAGAGGCATGTTTTTTTGTTTGTTTGTTTGTTTGTTTTTTCAGAGGCATGTTTTTTTAGGAAGTGGATGCCACTCCTCTGTGTGTGTGTGTGTGTGTATTAAAAAACAAAAAAAAAACAAAGTGAAAATGTTACTGACTAAGGAAGGCTGATTAATAGACCTCAAGGGACTCTTAAAGTCATGGTTGTTACCTTCTTTGCAACATCTTCTGATACTCCACCCTCATTAGGAATCCCCTACAAACTGCTTGAGTTCTTGTTATAATTTGGGCCAATTTGTCATCTCTCATTTCTTCCAGCAGACCCAGAAGTCCAGCTTTAAAGAAAACCTGGACAAGGAAAGAGTCACAGATAATTAGAGTACTACAGGATGCAGAAATGGAAGAAGGTACTTTGAATGATTGTAAAGATATAACAACTATACCTTTGTATGTCCAAATTTATATTGGGTGTGATCAATATCGATAGAGGCAAGAAGTTTTTCTGAAGCTTTCTTGCTGTCAATGAACTGCCCCTCTGGAATAGCGCTTGCATTTAATACTTTGTATCTGTGCAGTTAGAGATAGAAGGATTAGGAAGGTTTGGTCACATATGCAAGTCAAATGAAATATTCCCAACAGTCTGAGAGAAAAAAAAGACAATGGAAAATGAAAGTATCTCTTCCAGTTAAAGAGTAAATGAATATGATTAACTGTGGCATAATGCCTGTCTTCTCCTTAATTTTTAAGAAATGCTGCCTCTTATTCTAGTCTGTTATACTATCCTACTACCAGAAGAATATATTGTTTGGCTTTATAATGGTATATTAAATAAGATACATTAAATACAGTGAACAGAAGAATATGAGAAAATGTTCTGGCATTTAGCAAAAGATAATAAAGAGACTGACCTTTGTTTAAAATCTCCGTATAAGATCCTGCTGGGGAACCCCTTCCTGCAGATCCTAATGCCTTCGAGGACACCGTTACACCTCAGCTGGTGCAGCACAAGCTCATGCTCCATGGCCCCTGAAAACATATCCGAGGATGCACTTCTTGGCACGGAGTTTTAAAACTTACGCCTGCTTGATTGTTGTGTTCTTGTGTCTTACCAGGCGTTTTGGTCTCGTTGGGGATGATGCACCGTACAAAGTGGGGGTGTGTGCTCCTCAGATTGGTCATCAGCTTGTTTAAGTTTTCCTAGAAAACCAGATAGAGAAGAAGACTGTATTGTAGAGATGAAGGCATAATTGGAAAATTCTATTTTTTAATTTTTTTATTTTATTTTACGCGTGTGTGTGTGTGTGTGTGTGTGTGTGTGTGTGTGTACCGTCAAATCAGATCTGACTGGTACAGGAGGAGATTGCCCCTCCTTCTCCAGCAGAGCATCTGGTGGATTTGAACTGCACACCTCTGGGATTGCAGTACTACTTCTTGCCACTAGGCCACCAGAGCTCCCTTGCCTTTCTTTTTTTAATTATGTGGAATTAAATGGGGCACTATCTTAACTGTTGTACGTAAGCATTTGTGTGGTGTGGTGTGGAGTCCAAGGTTTTCTAAGCTGTCGTCTTTACAGGAGCTGATCAGGTCTTTTCTCACAGAATAGTTAATGAGTTTGAACTGCTGACCTTTAAAATAACAGTGAGTGCTTTAACTAATGTGCCACTAGGGCTCGTTGGCACCAGCCTATTAGACTTCAATTACCTTGTCTTCTGAAGTCTCAATTTTATCTCTATAAAAAGGGGGGAGGAATCCCCAAACAAATACTCAAAGAAAACCCCCCAAAACTTCATTGACAAGTAGTTGGAACTGACACATAGCTGACCATCCAGTGGGTTTTTAGAGGCTCTAAAATCACATGAGAGACTTCCCATCTTTCTTCCAAAGAGCTGCTGGTTGTATTTGAACCCCCAAAGTCTCAACTGTTGGGTTAACAGTCCTACATCTTAACAGACTACACCCCCAGAGCTTCTCACCTGTCAAATGACCAGGACACTAAAATGCTGGGAAGAAATGCAAATTTTCAAACTGTTCACTTAGCATACCTAGGACCTGTTATATAAACAAAACTACACATTTAGTAAGGCTCTCTGCTGGCCTAGTGGTTAAGGAATTGTGCTGCCAACCTAAAGGCGGCAGTTCAAATCTACCAACTCCTCAAAAGGAAGATGGGCAATCTCCTCTTGTGCTATTTACAGCCTCTGAACACCCACTGGAAGGTCCACTCCAGTTGCTGGTACCTAAACAAAACAAAATACCACATTTAGCAGCCTTAATGCAGAGAGAGTGTTCTGGGTTGGGAATTGGTATATGAAAGCTGTCACTTACAAACTACTAGATGATGTGAAATCTCCTTCGTCTTCCTCGCCTTTATCTGAAAGTTGAGATTTTCTTTAAGCTCTCTTCTCAGAGTTAATACTTTTGACAGCAGCATCTTTTAGTGGTAACTCAGGTTAACACGTTTCCAAGTTGCCTTTTTTTTTTAAAGGTTTATTATTCGTAGTATCTCCAACCTCTTTTTATCTGTTTTGTTTTGCTTTGGAATAATATAAAATCAAGGGACAACATAACTTATTGTGGGAAGATCTTGAATCTCTGCGAAAGCTTCGCAGTCTGAGCCATGTAAGAAGAGTTATTCTAGAGAGTAATGGGCAAAGGAATATTTCTCAGTGCTTTTCAAGTTAACTTTTTGAGAATGTAGTTTCTTTGGCATTTCCTAATGGAAACGAGCAAAATAAGTAGGATGAGTTCCTAATCTTAAAAACGTACACAGAGGCAAACTTAAGAAAGACATTTCTATGATGGGCTGTTGCAAATAAATAGTGAGAAAGAAAAGAATGAGGGCAGTTTTCCTGGTGAGGTTAGAGTTCACATATTCCTTTTAGTTCGAAAAGAAATGAAACAAAGCCATACAAATCCTGATAGAGCAGACTAGCCCAGAATTTAGAACATTCCTCTTTGGAGGGGGCCAATTTTTAAGCTATATAAGAAAATCACATTATTTGAAAATTTTTTCTTTATTTTTAAATCACATTATTTTGTAATAAAGGATCATACTCTCAAGAAATGCCTGATAACTTAATCATTCATCTAAATCACTGTGCTCAATTTCAGATGATTTCTAGCTATTGCAAAATATTAAGTCTATTCCTAGAGGGCAAAGGTGTGTTTGGTGGCAGTATGGTGTGAAATGTCTGTCTGAGGCTCACTCTCAGGAGGAGCTCAGGAACATTCTTAAAAGGCACCAGTAGTGGAATAAGAAGGGCAGCCTTGACCTTCATTCACCTATGTTTCTTTGGAATCCAGCTTCATTGTTTTGGTGAGAGGCCTCTTAAGGACAAGTTCAAATCTGAATTAAATTGTTATTGTTGCTAGTGGCTGCTGTGCTGTTTCTAACTCATGGAAGCCCCCACGTGCAGAATAGAGTTGACCTGTTCCCTACAGTTTTCAAGCAAGTTGCAAGCCTGTCAGATGGGTTTGGACCTCCAACATTTCTATTTAGTAGTTTGGTGCTTAATTATTTGTACCACCTAGGGACTCTTCTTGACTCAATGAGATAATCACAACAAATGTGGTGGCCTAGGGTAAGAAGTTGTGCTGCAATCCTGAAGGCATGTGCTTCGATTCCACCAGCTGCTCTGTGGGCTAAAAAGGGGAAATCTCCTCCTTTGAGATTACTATCCTCTGAAAACCTGCTGGAGGGTCAGCTATGGGTTGGTTCTGACTCGATGGTACACAGCAACAATAACTAGGTGTCACAGGTGATTTTCATCTGACTGCTAACATCAAGCTGTCAGTTGAGACCCACCCAAGGTACCATGGAAGATAGGACTGGCTATCAGCATCCGTCATGATCACAGTCGGGACAACCCTCTGGAGCATTCTACTTTGTCAGCAGGAAGTTGTCATGAGTCAGAATAGACTTGATGGCAACTGAAATAAAAACATAACTGAAATCTACTCAATCCACAGAAGAATCCAATAATGCTACTGAGTGAAGAAGCACTCTTCACTACAGGACGGGTTTCTTTTTTACTATCAAGAAGGGTGAATATTTAAATGATTCCTCCTAACACTATAATTTAGCCTAAATCCAGTGATTAGGATAGTTCATGGTAGCTGACTAGGGTTTTAAAATGAAATATATACTTTACCCTGAAAAGGGCTGACACAGTCTGGAAAGAGGAGCCCTTCTTCTTAGCTCCTTTCTTTGCACCACCATCTAAGAGAAAAAGAAATCCCACCAATTAAAGTACAAGTCTGGTGGCTGGAATGCTACCCGAACGTTCATTCCCTGGCTGTAGGTTCAACCTGAAGACAAAGAAGGTACCTGCTTCAGCACTAGCATATGTGGAAAAGAGACTGGCTAGAGTCTTCATGGCAGACTTCTGGTACAGCCCAACCACGGTGTCATTCAGGGGGTCCTTGTTCTTGTCGAGCCAGCCGGTGATGTTGTAGTCCACAGTGCCGGCATAGTGCACCAGGGAAAAGTGGGCCTCAGCCTTGCCTTTCACCACCTTAGGCTTTTGGAAGTTGGCTGACTTGCCCAGATGCTGGTCATACAGCTTGTTTTTGAAGGAGGTGTCTGTAGCCTTGGGGAACATGCACTCCTCTTCCAGGATGGAGAAGATTCCTAATGGCTGAGTTCAGAAAAAGAGGCATTGAGTTTAAGCCTACCTGCTTCTGCAGATGTACAGATACAATGTCCATCATTTGGTTAAATGTTGAAGCCCTCTAATTAAATATACTTATGAAGTATACACAGTATATACAACTCCTGGAAATATTGTTTGTTTTTCTAGAATGATCTTTCTACCTTTTCTTTCCACATTCAACTCAACCCGTAGCATCATTTTAAAGGAAAATAGCGTTATTAGTGGTATTGAGTCAGTTGCAACTCATAACATTCCTTCACACAACACAACAAAAGAGATAGTCTGTGCCATCTTTGGAATAATCGCTATGCCTGAGTGACATTGATGCAGCCTCCGATATCAGTATATTTCATTGAAAGTCTCTGCCTTTTAAACAGACTTTCTACCAAGTATGGTGTCTTTTCCCAAAGACTGACCCCTCATGATGATACGCCCAAAAATATGAGTACAAAATCATGAAAAATGTGCAATAAAATCCAGATGTCAGCACAGTATGTAGGAATGATTTGTTTCAATGGTTTACGTTTATCACACGGTTTTCCTATTAAGTGAATTAATTTCTTGTCAATGTTTAATTTTCCTGTGAAAATAACTTACGGACATGACATGATGTTTACTCTATATACAATAATTTAACAGACTAAATAACCAGAACTTGATTAGGGATATTTTATGTATTTATTCTTTTAAAGATTAATTATGGAGAAGTATAAGCAGTTTGATTTCTTGACCTCAGAGCAAATTCACTATTATATAAACCCTGGACATGTTACCCACTAATTTTTACTTAGAAAAAATATTTCTTTCTATTGGCTGTCATTTTGGATTGTGATGGAGAGAGTTTAGAAGAGGTAGTTCTTCTAATAAAGCAGGCCGTCTCAGTAGGTTTTCAGTGGTGCTTTACGATTAGACTTGAGTCCGTTTTTGAACACAAATGGTTAAAACTAAACTAACTAATCTCTGAAAATATTGAAAAGAGGAAATAATTTCCAAATAATAAAGTGTAACTTTCAAATTTGTTCTCGTTACAAAACTACTCTTTGAGGTTACAATAATGCTTCTTTTCTTTGAAAGTCATACAAACCTTTTCGATGAGCTCAATGCAGGCTGCCAGGTCCATCCCAAAGTCGATGAAGGTCCACTCGATGCCTTCCTTCTTGTACTCCTCCTGCTCCAGCACGAACATGTGGTGGTTGAAAAACTGTTGCAGTTTCTCGTTGGTGAAGTTGATGCACAGCTGCTCCAGGCTGTTGAACTGTACAAAATAGTGGAGATTTCCAACATTAAGTGGATTTTTCTTTTGTAGCAGTGGAATTTATTAATGAAAGAACTCTTTCATTAAAAAAATGTTGACTCCAGTATTGAGGGACCCTTGGTGGCCTAGCAGATAAGGAGGTGTGCTGTCAATCCAAACAAAGGTGGTTTGGATCCACTAGGTTGCACCATAGGAGAAAAATAGGCATTCCTCTTCATTAAAATTTACAGCCTCTTAAAAGCCACTGGATGACTAGCTATGATTCAGTTCCAAATGATGGTACATAAAAACAACATGGTATTGAAATTCAGTGTAAACTAATGTTCATTAAAATATCACAAAAACTGATAATTATAGGCTTGAGCCTTCTCATAACTTCTGGGCATTGTTTTGGGGTATAAGTATCAATTACACAGCAAGAGTTCTATTAAGGACCCACCTCATTCCAACTTTAAGATTACTGAAGTCCATCATGGCCCTTTGAATTAAGGTTCAGATTTAAGGGTGTAGTGGAAAGTACTTATTGGAAAACCTTATATCTTCTACCATCCCACTTTACAGTTCAAGTCTGAAGTTTCACCTCTGGTTCTCACATTACTAAGGAAAGCTTATTTTAAGACCTTTAGCTATTGTATAGTGAAATGAATGGATTACTTTCTTATCTGTATTAAACATTTGCCTATTCCCTCCTGTCAAGGCTCTAAATGAACATATGTGACATGGTATAGCAATTGACAATCAGAAGAAGTCTTTGTAATAGTTTACACCCACATTTTATTGATGTTAAGGGTAAAGTCCTAAAAGTAGTATGCTTTGGGTCAAATGAATCTGGAAGAGGGGAAATGATGCTTTGTCATTAGGCTTCCCTGCGAGAACCCATTTCTCCTCCATGGGAGAGACTTTGAACATGGACCAGAGGCTACAGATATGAGAGAGACTTTGAATATGGACCAGAGGCTATACCTGGTTTTGTTTATACAAACGGTGTAACTTTAGAGAGTATTTTGATTTCCCAGGATCTCAGTTTTATTGGTATTTATTTAGTAGTACTAGTAGTAGCAGCAGCAGCAGCAATTATATTTTTTATTTAAAGAAAATTTTAATTTTATATTGGTTTACTTACAAAGTTTGTGAAAAACAATGAAAGTAATAGCAATTATTACTTTATGGTTTGCTTTAAAGATTAAATGAAATAATATTTGGATGTGCTTAGTAGTATGCCAAAACCTGATTGCTTAATAAACATTAACACTTATTATGAAAACTTTCTATTACATCCCAGCTATTTTGTAGATTACTCTTGCTCGAGGTACATTGTTACGGGGAGCATTGGACATTATAAATTAAACAAATAATGATGATACTTAGTATATCAAAACCTGCAATTGTCTCCCTATTGTTTATTAAAATAAAGAACACTCACATCAAAGATCTCGAAGCCAGCAATGTCCAGGACCCCGATGAAGTACTGCCGGGGCTGCTTGGTGTCCAGCTGCTGGTTGATGCGGGTGACCATCCACAGGAACATCTTCTCATAGACGGCCTTGGCCAGCGCCCCCACTGCATTGTATACCTTCACAGACAGAGTAAAGATTCCTGGTATCATTCCAGACATGTTTCAAGGGCCTGGGTCGTGTGGGACTCAGCAAGGTGCCCTCACCTGCTGCACGGTCTGCCCTTTGGTGACATACTCATTGCCGACCTTCACCCTGGGGTAGCAGAGGGCTTTGAGCAGGTCAGCGGAGTTCAGGTTCTGGAGATAGGCTGCCTTGTCAGCAACTAGCAGAGACATAATTCAGGAAATTAAGTTCTCCTTAACCTAATATTTCTGTATCTTCTAATTTAATTTATTATCTAAATAAAGAACTGTGATTCTAAAGAAAGCCAAATGCTTTCCATTGAGTGATCATTTATTTATGCTAGCTTTAGATGTTTTATTGCAAATAACTTTTGAGAAAACCCATACACTTAAACACATCAGTAATAAGCATATCGCCAGTTTTTTCTGCAGTGCTTTAGTAAAGTAAAAGGGATAGTCATGGATCTTAAGACATGTTAGATGCTGTTAGAGGAGTAAAATACACACATATATCTATCTTATATATTCATTGTTTGAGAGAGGTAAAAGGCTGTGTGAAGGCTTATCTTAGTTTTGCCATTCACAATTTGATTTCACTGCATCAGTTTTTTTTGTCTGAAAATGTGATTTGACTTTACTGAATGACCTCTGCTCTTTTCAGTTGTTACCAAATCAGCTAGGACTCATGCCAGTCTTCTGTATAAACATAATGAAGCATTGTCCCTTCTTTGCCATCTTGCTGATCATTTACCTATTCGTGTTTGTTCATTGTTAGGGCTATTGTGTTACTCCATCTCATCAATTAGAGGAGTAGTCCCTACAGAGTTCCTTCCTAAGTGTTTCTCAGTGGCTGTAATGTAAGTGCTACCCTTCAGGTACAAAAGTAACTGACAGAAGTTAAGATAGAGAAAGAATGTCAAGGTGGCATTGTTAAGAAAGGCTTCAAGGGGCAGTTAACTAGCTTTCTGTAGTAGATTCTAGACCCTCCATGCTCTTCTTGGATGTAGAGTATGTGAGTTTCCGTTCTCAGTTCCTTTTTAGCTCACTTGCCACTTTTATGGTCTTCAAGTTTATAGTTTGTGATTGGGCACGTCTTGTACTGCCAGTTAGTAGTTTTTTCTAACTAGAGCTTCACTGTTAACCTAGATACTTATGTACCATTCCAGAGAAAAATAGGCCCATAGCCGACCCTCCAGTGGGTTTTCAGAGACAGGTTAGTCACACAGGAGGAGATGGTCCATCTTTCTCCAGCAGAGCAAATGGTGAATTTAAACTATGTGCCTCTGGGATTACAGTGCAACTCCTTCCCACTATCCCCCACCTCAATCCAATTCCAGTGCATTTCATTCTGTCTCTGATTATCTGGCATTGTTATTGTTGTTAGGTGCCATCGAGTCAAGTATGACTCATAGTGACCATATGAACAACAGACCTGAACCCTGTCCTATCCTGCACCATCCTCATCATCTCTGACACACTTAGGCGAAGCCTTTTAGATATTTCTTTATAATTTGCCATTAGGGTTCATTTTACTCTTTTTGCGCTGGATAGCAATAACAGAGATACAGCGATAGGAAGGAGGATGTGGGGGGGGGGGTGACGAAGGCGAGTCTTGGGATTTGACTTCTACTTCCTAGAATGTCCCTGGGCTTTACAGTCTCTTTGGGAGCACCATTGCATATGGACGGATGAGTGGATATTTGGGTAGGTGGATGGATAGAGGAGAAAGTATTTCCATATGAACAAAAAAGAAAAAGAATAATGGAGAGATACTGCTGCTGTGCTAAAATGAACGGGAATTTTTATATGTAATCGATTACTTTTTGTTGCATTTACATTTGGAGTTACTGCTTATGTGTATACTATTTTGAAGCTCAGATATAAAAGTGAAGGACATTTACAAAAGGCTTTCCCTCTGTTACAGTCTCTAATTCAAACCCAAATGGAAGCTCATTTGATACCTTCAGTGCCATCTGGCTCAGCCTGCTCCTCGCGCTGCTTTTGTTTGAATTTCATGTTCCCATAGTGCATCACGGCCCCTGTGAGTTTGTAGATGGACACTTTCTCTTCAGGAGTAAATCCCAAGATGTCAATGGCACTCTGTCGGGAGAGATAATAGGGCAAAAGTTAGCATACGAGACACACTTATTTGGTCACTATTGACATTCTTAGATATAATGTGGTTATATGATTAAATATTATTGTCATGACAGGAGTTCCGAATGAAAGCTGCACAGTGGGGTGGACTTGGGGGGAAGGGATTGAATAACAATGAAAGAATTTTTTTTCTTTTGTTTTTCAAAGAGAAAAGCAATTTGGGGGGAGGGGTGGGCAGGGAGAAAAGTGCAACAATGAATGAATAGAAATTCAAAGTCTCTTTAAACTTTCATGAAAATCGATTTAAAATGAAAAAAAAAAATCAGCACATGTATGTGACTTACATCGGTGGCCATCAGTTCTTCTTGGTCATCGATGCTGGGGACAGTGATCTCTCCCTGACTGACGAAGGCGTAGTCATACGGGTTGGTGGTGATCAGGAGCATTTCTGGGTACGCAAATTCAGAAGGTATATCTTAAACGAGAGTTGTTTCTAAAAATACTGATTTCCATCTGTGAATTTAGGTTTGCTCTTACCAATCAGATCTGGCTTCTTATTGGAAGTTATCTGATAAAAAATATGATAACTTCTTTCTGCCTTTAACTGGAAAGTAACTCTAGACTTTTCTAGAAGATCTGAAAAGAAAGATGGCCCAAAATGAGCAAAAATATCAATGCTACTTAGAGAGCAAATTAACCACAATGTGTTTGGCTGAAATGGAGTGTATTACATTTAGTGCCACTGAGATTTCATCTTAATGAGGGATCACCTTGGTGCTACCTGTTAGCATTGCAGATAAATATGGCGATTGTCCTTGGTTCTTACTATCTGTGAGCAGAGATTAAAGCCTACTTGCTCTAGGGCAAATTAACTTTTTCTGTGTTGTTGTGTACCACAGAGCCAGAACCGACCTATAGCTGACCTTCTGGTGGGTTTTCAGAGGCAGTTAATCATATGGGAGGAGATTGCCCATCCTTCTCTCAGTGAGCACCTGATGGCATCTACATGCCTTTGGAATTGCAGCGCAGCTTCTGGCCACTAGGAAGCCAGGATCTCTAATTAGAATGAATCTCTAACATTCTAGGATCGAGCAAGGCTTCACTCTAATGCAGAGTTTACTCTGAATAAGAGATGACATCTAACAACTTGATTTACTTTAAACTCTGTGATTGACAGGCTTCCCTGGTATCTTCTACCAAGGCTCAAATCAAGAGCCAGTCACAGAGGTAATTTCTGAAGTCATAGATGACTCATGGTAATGGATCTGTAAATCACCCCTGTGCTGGTCTTGGAGATCGGAACCATCACTTCTTCTGAGTCAGGGGTTGCTCTAGAACATGCAGTTGTACTATCAGTCTGAAATTAGGTCATCGTAGTGGATCAGTCTGGCATTACTTTGTTGGGAGCACTGGCAGCAGGCCTGTGTTTCACCAGTCTTGCAAAATATTCCTGATATTAGTTTTCCTGTTTCTCTGTTTTGATGTTCCCTGGTCTGCTACTCACATGTTTCAATATCAGCAGAAGCCAGCTTCCCTGTAGTACCAAAGTGGATTCTTATGAATTTACCCTTAATGAGAAAAAGATTTTTTAAAAAAAGAGAGAGAAAGATTATTTAGTGTGTATGTATAATACAATTAAAAACACAGGAGGTCTGCAGTTGAAATAGTAATTCAACTATTTCATGGATTCTCTGGTGCTTCAGGATGGAGAAGTCCCCTCCACGAGCAGGAGACTTACAAAGCGTGAGGAATTGTCATTCCGCACGGTCTTGGCATTGCCAAAGGCCTCCAGTAGAGGGTTGGCACTGATGATTTGATCTTCCAGAGTCCCCTGCAAAATAAAAAAGGTAGTCCTTGAATCTGGGACTTCACACTGCCTGTGAACTCTCAGAAGCTGGATTCTAATGGGGTTGTCAGACCCACCTGCATTTTGCCAGGTTCATCTTTTTTCTTCTCTCCAGTCACTGCAATTGTTGCAAAGTACTGGATGACACGCTTTGTGTTCACAGTCTTTCCTGCCCCGGATTCTCCACTGTCAGAGAAACCAGAGATCAGACCTGCAACCCACGCTGTCAACATCAGGAGCAACCACAACAAGCCAGGGAGTAAAATGCAATTACATACGTGATGAGGATGGACTGATTCTCACGGTCTGTGAAAGAGAAATTGAGAAATGACACACACTCAGTATGAAAATTATTTATCAATTCAGATAAAATACAGTGTGCTCTTTTTAACATTTTAATAATGCTGCCCATGATTTAGAGAGCTCTAGAGTCAGTTTGCTGTGCTGAGGTAATCTGGGTTTGCTGTGATGCTGTACTTTGTACCATTGGGGTCTCAAATGCCATAATAGCTGCCCATAATGGGCAGTATTTGGTGGAGCTCCCAGTTTTAAGGCAAGTTTGGAAGCAGGAGTTGCATCCACTTCCTAAACTACATGCCTGTGGAAGCTCTATGAATTTGGAGAAACAATAGTTATAGAAAGGCCTCAGGTCTTTTGTTCATAGAGTCTCTATGAGTCGGGCATGACTTGACGGCAATCAACAACAGTGGTTTAGTGAATAAGGAGTTGGACTGCCAAACCAAAGACACTTGGTTTGAATCCATCAGCTGCTCCACAGGAGAAAAGTGAACAACCTCCTCCTGTGGGATTTACTGCCTCAGAAAACCAACTAGAGGGTCAGCTATGGGTTGATGGTTTATAACAAACACCCATGATTTAGGTTTTATGTTTAGCCTCCAAAACACCCAGTTGACTCTTGAAATAAAATTCGTGAAAATGAGATGCAAAGAACTATTGAAGGTTTTTGTTGTGTTTTTTTGTTGTTGTTGTTGTTGTTTTGGTGCATTTTTTTTTTTAGAATGAAACCCATTTTATTACAGCTGGGGAGTAGGTTGTACAAAGTCTCAATAGGAGGGGCAAATACTAGCTAAATCAAGAGGGGAGAGGCAGGAGGAGGCCCAGAAACTACACCATAAGACTCTGTGTCTCGAGCTGCTCCAACCAGCTCAGACTCCTGCTCAGACCCGTGCAGCAGAAATCTGGTTCTTTGTATTTCCTGTCCTTGTTCTCCAGGCTGCAGATACTGAGGCAACAGGCTAGGAAAGACCACCAACTCAGATCAAAACAAATGGATGGGAAAGCAACACTAGCTTTAACAGTAGTAAAAATCTGAGACTCTAGGAACTAGTCATGGGCGTGGTGGAATTGGGGTGAGGGGGTGGGGATGGAGAATATCCTGTTAAATAAATGTCAGGTGGGAGTTGAAGACACCGAATATTGGTTGAGACCGCCCCACATAGCAGACACCAACACCGGTGGTTGGCTGAGCCAACCGGTGTTGGTTTTTTTAAAGTTTTCATAATGGAAGATTTCAAACATTCATGAATAGCATTATCATGATAGAGTGAGCTCCCATATACCATCATGCAGCAAAACAGTTATTAGCATGTGAACCATTTTATCTCTATTTCCCACCAATTTCAGTGGATTATTTTAAGCAAAATTCTTAGCCTGTGCTGTCATATTTAAATACTCAGTAAGAATTGTAAAAAGTAACTTGGAAATGCTTATGTCAATTCTTTGATTTACAAGATAAAGAAACTGAGACCCAGAGAGGAGTAACTGACTGTTCTAATATTAGTTAAATGTTGTTGTTATATACCATAAAGTCAGAATCCACTCAAAGCTGACCCTCAGGGGGTTTTCAGAGGTTGTAAGTAGCTTGTTAAAGATCTGCAAGTCTTTTAACACCCAGTGTCTGTATTTTCCTATTTGTCTTCCTGGTTCTCTCTTTAATATTTTCTTGTTTCCATGAAGCTTCCTCCCAACTCTTGTATCAATAAATGATATTAAGGAAGGGACCTGGAACTGCAAGTGTTCAGGTTCCTTTTTACTTTTAGGTACAGTTTTTCTTACATACATTTCTAATGAACATAAAACACATGTTGTTACTAGTTACATGATTGGCATGTTGGCACCTACACTGTTTTGCTGATTCGGTAAATCTTTATGTTCTACTGATCACTTGCTCACTCAGTGCCATTGAGGGGAATCAGCTCATAGCCGACGGACGCTGCAATGGGTTCCTGAGGCTGTAAACCACAGGGCGGGACAGGGGGAAGAGATTGCTTGTTTTCCTCTCTCAGAGCATCTGGTGGATTCATGCTACGAGAGGCCCAGCAGCATAGTTCCCATGGACTACACCACCAGTGCTCCCTTCTATACCGAAAGATGATGCAGATTTTAGAAAATTCTAAAATTCTATTCAGGTAAGTATATGCACTCTGAATTTTAATTAGGTTATAGAGAATTCAGAGAAGTAGGTACCAAGTTGGGTTGTGTTTTTTTATCTTATATAGACTTTTTTAATAGTACAAACAAAATTATGTACGATCGTGTTTTACCTTGTAATAACATTAATTTTTAAAAAGTTGTGATCTCCTTTGACAATGCAAAAAATAAAATTACCAAGCCAGTCAAGTTACACTATCTTATATAAAATGAATGCTTGTGAGCTGTAGTATGTTTGCATTTAGAGCACGTCCACAGCCTGGGGAATGGGAATCTTAGTTAGAGGGGGTGTGTATGCGCATGTGATGTGGTGTGTTTGCCTGTACAAGCGTGCGCGTGCATCGTAGTCTAAATGCAACTGGCAAACCCTTGGAAATAAGTCAACTTTTAGAGAATTTCTGGGCGGTAGCCAGCTTCTGTTGGCTAGCCAAGGCACAGTTACTGGTTGAAATCCATGTAGAACTGCTGGCTGGAATTATTATTTTATCACTTCCTTTCCCTCTCCCTTTTAAAGATAATTAAGAAGCAAGTAAACAAACAGAAGCCCTCACTCAGTTCCCAGAACCTTATGGAACAAAAAGAAACTCAGGAATTTAGAATATTTTTCAAACCAATACAATTGATGAGATAAAAATCTTTCGTGTTCTATTTGAGAACTAAGGTACATATCAAAAACTGTTCACTTATGCTTTGCTATAGCATAAATAATAAGCTTTGATACAAATAAAATATATGTGCACTTAAAAAAAAAATAAACCAGTGAAGAACTTGTGAAATGCTACACAGCATGGGTGACTCTAGAGGACGTTATGCTGAGCGAAATAACTCCCTCTCAAAGAATACTGTTTAAGACTGGTGCTGTGAAAAATAGGCGGTCTGGTGGTGGGGAAATGACAGGAAGAGCAGAAATAGACTGTACAGTGAACTCTAAAGGATCAGGAAAGGAGGAATAACCTGGAAGGAATGGATGAATGAACTATATGGATATTGTAATTAATAACTTGGAATAGGATATGTAGAATTGTTCAGAGGGAAGAGGGGAGGGCATTATGAACGGGAAGGGAAAATACTAGGGCAACAGAGTAGAGGACAGATGTGTAGGGTGAAAGACTAGGCAAGGTACAGTGAGAATTTGAGCTGATGTTTTGATTAAAAGGCATGGATCAATTATAATTGATGTTACAGGGCATATGATTGAAAGAAAATCAATGAAAATTTATTTTTGAAAACTTTTTTATTCTATAGGAAAATGCTTCAAAACCTTCAGGAAGAAAATCAGAGTTTGTTCTTGCTTCTTCCCCCAAAGATATTATTAACAATGTCCTTTAAACATAAAGGGGTAAGGATTCATGTTTTCTAGTTATGTTTGCTAACTATTTTCCTTGATTCCTATTTATGTTGATATTTTTGTTTGTATATTTGTTTTTTATTGTGAGTTTAACGAAAGTTTACAGAAAGTTGGGTTTTCATTCGTTCATATATGGATATCCTTTAAAAAAATCTATTTGAATGCCTTTCCCACTATCTACATTGGAAAGTAAAAATAATGGAAAAGAAGAACTTAATTGAAGTCTGTTACTGTTTTAACAAGACTATCCCTGTTAACTGGGCAGATCAGTGAACTCAAAGTGTTTTCTTGGCTCATCTTGGCAAAATGAAGACTGTTGGAAAGAAGAGATGACATCAGAGCTCTGAAAGTTCTTCGGAAACAGTGAAGCCCCATATGATAGGACTGTGTTAACTAGAACCAAGGCCCTGATGAAATGTACATACAGACTCTAGTTATACATTTCTCCAAAGAGATGCGTCAGCCACTCACCAGTCAGCATGAACTGATAGGCATTGTCAGAGATGGAGAAGATGTGGGGTGGGGCCTCCTGGCGCTTTTTGCCTCGGTAGGCAGCCACCACCTCTGGGTTGTACACCGGCAGCCACTTGTACGGATTGACGGTGACACAGAAGAGGCCCGAGTAGGTCTGTGGAAATCAGAAATTCATCATTGAACTTTGTTTTAATTTGGGGATAAACGGAATAGAAGAGCTTTTAGGGGCACTCACATAGATCATCCAGGCTGCGTAACGCTCTTTGAGGTTGTACAGCACCCCAGGCTCGTGCAGGTGGGTCATCATGGCCATGTCCTCGATCTTGTCGTATTTGGGAGGGTTCATGGGGAAGACTTGGTCTTCCTTGACAGTTAGAGTCTGGCAAGTAAAGATTACAGATTGTATTCATGGTTAGAATTAGGGTTTATGTTTGTCTTCTTTTGGTTATAAGACTATGATTAGATTCCTTCTATCAGATTGTTGTGTGTCATTTAAACAAAGGCATGAACACATACTAATTTCAGAGTTTTGTGCTAAGAAAATCTATATCATATGATAAGCTATATTATTCTATATCATATGATAAGCTATATGTTGGAAGCAGGAGTGGCATCCACTTCCTAAATAACCTGCCTCTAGAAACTATGAACTTTGATAAATGTCAGTAGTTGTAGAGGGGCTTCAGGCCTTTTGTTCATAGAGTTGCTATGAGTTGTACTCTACTTGAAGGCAGTCAACAACAAGCTATATTATTAATTTTCCCCTTCCTTCTTCATCTCAAATTTATGAATAATTTTGTATCTTTTGCTTTAATAGATTGAAATTGTTATTTTTTTCTAGTGGTCAGGTATTACACTGCCAACACTAAGGTACATGGTTCGAATCCAACAGCTGTTCTGCGGGAGCAAGATGAACCGTCTCCTCCTCTGTGGTTTACTGCCTATGGAAACCCACTAGAGGGCCAACTGTGGGTCTGTTCCAACTTTACATAACAACAACTTATGACTTACAAAAAACTTGAGATGTTTGGAGGAAACATTTAACTAAGTACAAAACTCAAAAGTACTTCTAATAGGAGAACATAGTCTCTGAAATTTTGGCAATCAGACTGGGAAGTGGAAGATTAAAGAGAAATTTGGAAGAGGGATACTGCTGGGTCAAGTCCTCTAGGAGGTTGAAAGTGAGAAATAAGGGAATTTCTTTTCTTAAATGTTATGATTAGTAGGCTGAGAATGTTTCTGCCTTTCAAATGTGATGTCTGTCAATTGATCAGAGAGAGGTTTGCATGGGCAATAGACTTAAGATATTTACAAGAAATAAGAATTTGTTCTTGAATTGAGAAGGTGGAGAAGTTAAACGGGAGTCTTGTCTGTTTGTACTTACTGCTCCACCTTCAGTCTTAACAATTATTTTCCCTCCTTCCTTGCTTTGGATGACACTCTTCACGTAGGATTCTTTAGGCTCCGCAACAAAGACAGATGTTTTTGCATCAAAAGGCTTGTTTTGTGCCTCAATTCGCTCCTTTTCTGATTTTCGAAGGTAAGGAGCAGCTTCGCCAAAAACGGCCATCTCAGCATCTGATGAGCTCATGGCTGAGATTTATTTAGCAGAGGATTCAGCCTTGGGGGAAAGAGGAGGCAGAGGGAGAAACAGAAATTAGAAGTCATATATGTGAGATAGTGTGCAACGAAAGAAATAAGGGGCACCCTTAGCCTGGGGTAGAACTATTCTTCAATCTTTCTTTCTTCGGTGCTCTAAGGCAGTCTGAAGAATCTCATTTGGAATGACACTATAATCTGACTTCACTTTTAGAACTTGCCAAGTTCCCTCATGCATATCATATCTTTTTCTTCAGGCCTATAATGCCTGCAATTGAATCAGAATGAAATCTTTGAGTGCTTTTCATTTCTAAAATGTAACACTATCTGTAGCTAAAAATGTTGTTAGATTGGTTTCTAACAACTGCCATTATTTAATCCCCACTCCTTCTGCATAATGTTTGCATCTGCCATATACCAGGACAATCCTATGTTGGGAAGCAAAGTCTGTCTCTTAAAATTGAATGTTGAGACTTTCTAAGATACCAAAAATATCTTGTCCTTCCAAATGACCATTTGGTCTTTTAAAGCAACTAATTTAAAATTATTTTTAACATCTCTTTTATATTGATGTTTGATGTTCTCTCTCTCAGTGTGTCCTAAAAGGAATGACATTAACTTTTTAGCCATCTTGATTGTTTCTCATTTGACTTACTGCCAAGTGATTTAGGATTGCCTTAATTCTAAAATCCCTTTTGACTCTGTCCTTTTGAATTCATGAAACATTGCAACCGTCAGTTGATCTAACTATAGAAAACTGTAACTAATGCTACAAACCTATCTTGCCACATAATTCCAGAGCTGCTTTTCTTTCCAATCAGAAAAAAGAAGAGAAAAAAAATCAGGAGCTTATCACAGGAGTGTAAACCATTGTCATCTGATTGGTAGATGTGCACCTACAATATTAACCAGTTAGATTGACTGAGTTTCTCCTTTATGTTCAAGTAGGATGTTTCTTGAGGAAAGATCAAGATCTCAACACAAATTAGGCATGTTGTTTGTATAACATGACTTTTAAAACAATAGTAAATCTAACAAGTAACAGTAAATAAAAAACTACCTAAAATATTATGGTCTTAACGATGTGTTTTTGTATTTACATTTTTAGATAATATATATTTAAAATTTAAAAATATTTAATATTAATATTTTTTAAAATCTGTAAGATATCTTAGTAGTACATGTTTTCAGTTAGAGGGAAGTTCATCTGGACTAGGCTCTTGTCCCTGGACAGTTCTGTATGCACAGCTGAGAATGCACTGTCAAAATTAATTCCCTCCCAACAAGTAGTTTAATCCTCAAAGTCCAGTGAGGTAGTCTCTGAGAATAAAACAGTTTGAAAGAAAGATTTCCCAGCATTTATAAGCAGTCATTCAGAAACACTGTCTATCCACATAATTATAAAAACATGGAAAAGGTTTATGAATAAGACTTGTTCCCAATTTGATTACGCTAAATTTGCTCTGTCATCAATAAATTAACAAAGCCCAGTCTTGCCTCTGGAGTTGCAGATGAAATTCCAGATTCAGAAGTGTCCAACCTGTAAAACAAGAGGTTTCTTATTAATGAAGCTCTAAGATTCGAATGATAATAGAATTACAGAATTAAAATCTTTCTAACTTAAATCTTGGCTTTGTGAAAATCAAAGTCAGAACTGGAAGGAAGAGTTTCATGTTCTGAGAGATGGGTTGGGGGCACTTCCTTCTACCCCGAGTCTCCCAAGCTTTGAGGCCTTCTTCACTCACCTTCAGGTTCGTGGTGGAGATAAGGCACAAGAGCCCATGGTGCTTATATAGGAACTAATGTGCTGATGCTGCAGCTACCTCCTCTTTGTTAGGGCAAGACATTTGGCAACATGAACCCTCAGCATAATTTGTACTGACATTTGGCATGTTTGGATATAATTAGAAGTATTCATATCATTTTGAGTATGTGAACCAATCTCCTATAAATAATTTGACAGGGGTCAATCTGCCGGCAGGGAATGCTTTCTAGTATGCTGGGAAGGTAATCTTTGACAGTGCCTGGTGGGGCCTCAGAGTACGTTAATAAGAGCTATATTCGATTTGGCAAACTCTTTGAGGCATGCCTGTGGATCAGATACTCAGCGACTCACTGCCATCATGGGCCCACACCATGTTCCTGTTCTGTTGCTGCTGGAACCCCCTTGGGGCACTGCCACGGCTCGTCCATGGAGCCTGAGCTTGGGCAGTTCAACCTTTATGAGAACACAATCTACACCATGTCTCTACTACATGGCCAGTGTCCAACATTGGAAACAAAGGTTCTTTTATTATAAAATAATAGGTATCCATTGTATAAAAAGAAAAAAAAATACAGTTAAGCAAAGAGAAATATCTGTAATCTCAATATCCAAAGAATATAAGTGGGACCATAATATACTGAATACACATGCTAATAATCTGCTTTGTAGAAATATTATTTAGTCACATACATCATAGTTAATTTTTCCTACTATTCATATAATTTAAACCTTTGTTCTTTATCCTTGTGTTCTTTGTTCTTTGTCCTTTGTCCTTATGTTCTAGTCCTTCCTTCTTTGTAAATAAAAATACTTCCTACTTTAAAGGGAGCTCAGGTGATCAAGTGATAAAAAGCTGCCCTGCAATCTCACAGGCACACAGTTCAAATCCATCAGCTCCTACACAGCAGAAGGAAGGGCAGTCTCTTCTTCCATGTGATTTCTCGCTTCTGAAAAGCCAATGGAGAGTCAGCTATGGGTTGGTTCCAACTTGACGGTACACAACAACATACTGTTGTTGTTGTTGTTATTAGGTGCTGTTGAATATGACTCATTATGACCCTATGAATAACAGATCTGAACCCTGACTTACTCTGTGCTGTCCTCAGTGTCTGACAACTCGAGCCCATTGTTTAAGTCCCCTGTGTGAATCCACTGGGTTGAGGGGTTTTTCTCTTTCGCCAACCCTGCACCTTTCCAAGCATGATGTTCCTCTCTAAGGAATAGCCTCTGCTAGCGACAAGCCTGAAGTATGTGGCATGAAGCATTATCATCTTTGCCTCTAAGGAACACTCTGGTTCCAAGACATATCTGTTCATTCTTTTGGCAGTCCATGGGAAATTCAGTATTCTTCTTTCCAATACCACAGTTCAAAGGCATCATTTCTTCTGTCATCCTTTAAAATAGCAAGTATTTTAGTTTACAAAGAAAGTATAATTTACACAATCAAAATTAATCCTTTTAAGAGAATATGGGTTTTAAAAATATTTTAAACTTTACATACAATACAATTTAGCTTTTTTTTCCAGTTGTACAATCTTATGTGCTTTTATACATACATCATTTCTTATAATGGCCATCATAGAAAGAATATAGAGCAATCCGAGTTTTGTGAGTTTTGATAAGCACATGCAGTTGTTAACATTGTATATTTTATTAACATGAATAGTTAATGTTTATACACACTGCCTGTCAAGTCGATTCCAACACACAAGAACCCTCCATTGGGTTTCCAAGATTAAGCTTACAGAAGGGGGTGTGCTCATCTTTCTTTTTTTTTTTTAATTTTTGTGGGAGTGTATCGTCAAATCAGATCTGACTGGTACAGGAGGAGATTGTCCCTCCTTTCCCGGCAGAGTCATCTTTCTTTAATGGTACAATTAGTTGATTCAAACTGGTGACCTTTTAATTAGCACAACACCCAAGGCACCAAGCCACCAAAGTTCCTTAGAGCTTTATAGATTAGGCTAAAAGTCCTTTTTTATGAATATACATAATAAAGCACTTGCTGTTTTTCTAAACGCAAACCATTGGTGTAAGTATAATCTCTTTTTTCCTTTCAAGTGTGTGTGTGTGTGTGTGTGTGTGTGTGTGTGTGTTCACATTTATATATTGTTATGAACAGTAAGATTGATCTATAGAAAATATGTATTACAGATGTTTAAAATATACTACGATGTTGTTTTTGTTGTTGTTGTTATGTACCACTGAGTCAGAACTGACTCATAGCTGACCCTCCAGTGGGTTTTCAGAGGCAGTAAATCATATAGGAGGTGATTGCCTATCTTTCTACTGTGGAGCAGCTGGTGGATTTGAAACACAAACATTTGGGTTGCTTGTGCAACTCGTTACCACTAGGCCATCAGAGCTCCATATTGATAGTATGTTAGGTGTTATCAACTTAACTCCAACTCAGAGAGACCTTACAAACAACAGATCTTAACCTTCCTCCCCCTACCCTGTGCCTCCTTACTGTCTCTTCCAAGCTCAAACTCATTTGTAGTCACAATGCCCATCCATCCTGTTGAGACTTTGTGACCTCACATTGTGCTATCCAAAAAGCTGAGTGTTTATGGCTGTTCAAACCCACCAGTAACTCTTGGGGAGAAAGGACAGTTTCCTTCCATTAAATTTTACAACCTCATTAACCCAGTGTAGGGACACTATAAGTAAATAGGCTCCACATCAATGGATTTGGGTTTATAGATGATGTATATATGATGTGCTTGCTTGTTTTGAATTTAAGCCTCATGTAAGACTTCAGAAAGGTCCTTTGTATTTAAAAATCAGTTGTTACCATATTTTGGAGGAACATTTTTCTAAGTGGTACAGCACTCTTCTGTCAATATGCTGTACTGAGGTAATCTAGATTGCTGTGATGCTGCACCTTATGTCATCGGGGTGTCAAATATGATAACAGTTATCCATGGTGGACAGTGTTTGGTGGAGCTCCCAGTTTAACACAGGTTTGGATGTAGGAATGCCATCCACTTCCTAAACAGCATACCTCTGGAAACTATGAACTTTGATAAATGGCAGTGGTTGCAGAAGGGCTTCACGCCTTTTGTTTGTAGGGTCACTCTGAGTCATGCTTGACTTGGCAGCAGTTAACAACAGCAACATATATAATTTACGTATTTACCAACTTGCTTTTTAAATTTCTGTACCCTTGGAGTGTTTTTCATGTTGGTGCATAAATAGAAGTTTCTAATGTTCAGCTTTTCATTGTTAG